GCTCTCCACTGCACACCTGTAGAAGGAGGTGAGGACTGAGCTTCCCAGACCAGCTCGCCTCAGCCGTCTGAGGAAGTAGAGTCTCTGATGAGCTTTCTTGATCAGGCTGGTGGTGTTGTTGCTCCAGCTGAGGTTGTCATTCATGTGTACACCCAAGTACTTGTAGCTGGAGACCACTTCCACCGCAGATCCTCTTATGTTCAGGGGGGTGTAGGTGTTTTTGTTCCTTCTGAAGTCCACAATCATCTCCTTTGTCTTCTTCACATTGATGTGAAGGTTATTCTCTCTGCACCAGCTCTCCAGGTGTTCCACCTCTTGCCTGTAGCTGGACTCATCATTGTTTGTGATGCATCCCACCACCGCTGTATCATCTGCAAACTTTACAATGTGACAGCCTGGATGGGTAGCTGCACAATCATATGTGAGCAGAGTAAACAGAAGGGGGCTCAACACACATCCCTGAGGAGAGCCAGTGCTGAGGGTTATGGTGACAACATGATTGGGTATAAAAAGAGCTTCTCAGAGTGTCAGCGTCTCTCAGAAGCCAAGATGGTAAGAGGATCACCAATTCCACCATTGTTGCGCAGAAAGATAGTGCAGCAATACCAGAATGGTGTTACCCAGCGTAAAATAGCAAAGACTTTTAAGTTATCATCATCAACAGTGCATAACATCATCAAAAGATTCAGAGAATCTGGAACAATTGCTGTGTGTAAGGGTCAAGGCCGTAAAACTCTACTGGATGCTCGTGACCTCCGGGCCCTTAAACGTCACTGCACCTCAAACAGGAATGCCACTGTCAAGGAAATAACAGAATGGGCTCAGGAATACTTCCAGAAAGCATTGTCAGTGAACACAATCCACCGTGCCATCCGCCGTTGCCAGCTGAAACTCTACAGTACAAAGAGGAAGCCATTTCTAAGCAAGCTCCACAAGCTCAGACGTTTGCACTGGGCCAGGGGTCATTTAAAATGGAGTGTGGCAAAATGGAAGACTGTTCTGTGGTCAGATGAGTCACGATTTGAAGTTCTTTATGGAACAATGGGACGCCATGTCATCCGGACCAGAGAGGACAAGGATAGCCCAAGTTGTTATCAACGCTCCGTTCAGAAGCCTGCATCAATGATGGTATGGGGTTGCATGAGCGCTTGTGGCATGGGCAGCTTGCATGTCTGGAAAGGCACCATTAATGCAGAGAACTATGTTCAGGTTCTAGAACAACATATGCTCCCATCTAGATGTCATCTCTTTCAGGGAAGACCCTGTATTTTTCAACACGAAAACGCCAGACCACATTCTGCAGCAATCACAACATCATGGCTACGTAGGAGAAGGATCCGGGTACTGAAATGGCCAGCCTGCAGTCCAGATCTTTCACCTATAGAGAACATTTGGCGCATCATAAAGAGGAAGGTGCGACAAAGAAGGCCCAAGACGATTGAACAGTTAGAGGCCTGTATTAGACATGAATGGGAGAGCATTCCTATTTCTAAACTTGAGAAACTGGTCTCCTCTGTTCCCAGACGTCTGTTGAGTGTTGTAAGAAGAAGGGGGGATGCCACACAGTGGGAAAAATGGACTTGTCCCAACTTTTTTGGGATTTGTTGACGCCATGAAATTTGGAAACAACAGATTTTTCCCTTAAAATTATACATTCTCTCAATTTAAACTTTTGATCTGTGATTTGTGTTCTATTCTGAATAAAATATTAGATGTTGGCACCTCCACATCATTGCATTCAGTTCTTATTCACAATTTGTTTAGTGTCCCAACTTATTTGGAATCCGGTTTGTAAGATCTGAGTCATGAACTAAGAATATACTACATTCACTAAACTAAGAATACACTAAACACTAATGGTACAAAAACAATGCGCCAAAACAACAGCAGCACAAACATGAGTCTGTATGAGCAGGTGCGTTCCCAGTGTTTAGGAGTTCTGAAATTGACACCGTGCCTTACTCTGCACAATTTATGAGGGTAAATTGTAGCCAAACTGTTCTTTACATAGTGGCTGGAGACTTTAATTACATTAATCTAAAAGACTGCCTCCCAAGATCTTACCAGCATGTGGACATACCAACACGTGGAAACAACACACTGGACCGTGTTTACACAAATGTAAAAGATGCATACAAAGCCAAACCCCACCCCCACTGAAGACTATCTGATCACACCTCCATCTTCCTGGCTCCTGCTTACCTTCCCCTGCTGAGAAGCTCCAGACCAGTACAAAAGAAAGTTAAATCTTGGATCCAGAATAAGGGCGCCATACTGAAGAATTGTTTTGAACAAACAGACTTGGAGGTCTTCAGAGAAGCTGCTGAATATGGGGGGGTGCTAAATCTGGAGCAATACACATCCTCAGTTCTGGGGTATATTAGTAAATGTGCTGATGACATCACCACCATCAGGTATGTTAAAAGCTACCCGAACAGGAAGCCTTGGCTGAATGCAGAGGTGCGCACCCTGCTGGAAGCCAGGAACACTGCCTTCAGGTCTGGAAACTCACAGGAGCTGAGAAGGACAAGGAAAGAACTGGTTGCTGGTATTAAGAGGGCCAAGGCTACATATGCACAGAGGATCCAGGGTCAATTCACTTCACAAGACCCACGGGGTATTAAGTGCATAACAGATTATAAAGGCAGGAGTGAACAATGCCTTAGAGACACATCACTGCCTGATGCCCTCAACAAGTTCTACACAGGCTCTGAAGACCCGAACAGACCACCCAGCACCAGACTCACCTCACCACCGGATGAAGAGCTTCTCAGCGTGACCTAAGTCGAAGTGAGGAGTACTTTCAGGAGATTTAATCCTCACAAAGTAACCGGCCCAGACAACATCCCCGTGAAGGTGCTGGAAGAATGTGCCGATCAGCTCTGCGATGTGCTGGCCGATATCTTGAACTTCTCACTTACCCTGGAGACAGTTCCCATCTGCCTGAAGACAGCCACCATCATCCCAGTCCCAAATAGCTCTACAGTGACAGGTCTGAATGACTACCGGCCAGTAGCCCTCACCCCGACAGTCACTAAATACTTTGAAAAACTGGTCATGACCCACATCAAAACAACCATCAATATTGTAGTGAACTAGGCCTCCGACAACAATCTGTCTCTGAAGACCTTCATGGGACAGGAACTGTTATTTCATTGATTTGAATCCAGAGACTATTTAATTGTATCCTGAATTAATCAATTGAAAGAACACTCTTCTTTTTGATAATCAAAGTGTGTTTAGTTCATACCATTTCTAAATGTTGAAGTGAACCACTCATTTTAAATCAACTGTGAAACAGTATTAATGATTTTTAAACCTCATTAGAAATTAGAAATCAAGTTAAATGGCTATTTACAAAGTAATTATGCATTTTGATCTTCTGCCTGAATAAGGAGTAGTGATGTCGGTCGAAAGTCAGAGACAGTCAGAAAACGAGTTATTAGAACAAAGTGTCTTGTTTTTAAACCTAGCAGACGGTAAATAAGAAGCAACTGGCACCTGCTTCCTCTCACTTCTTCAAAACATTTCTCTGTCTGTACTAATCGTTCCTAAACATTCCTGCATCCTCTCTTGACTTTTAATAACCCTCTGACATCACTGAAACACCCCCCTGTTGGTTGTTTCAACCAATCAGGAAGTACTAAGTGACCGGAAGTGAGGACTCTTTAAAAGTCAACACTTCCTGGAACTAGTCAGTCTTCCCAGAGTCTTCTCGAGTCTCAGTCTTCTTCAGTCTTTGACCGGAGTTTTCTTGAGGCTTTCTTGGGACTATGAAGTCTTCCTGAGAGTTCCTAAGGAACTTTCAGATTTAATCAATAGCTGATGGATATGACCGTGAGACGAGGGTCCGTCCATCCCAGCGGAGTCACAGCGCCTCGCTGTGAACTCACCCGGGCGTAACGCCCTACAACTTCGAAGGAAGCTGGTTCTGTTTAACGGAGTAAACCACATGACTTCTGACGATTCTCAGCCACCCTGACCGGAGACGCTGAAAGGTAGCGTTGAAATGGACCTCTGGTACCGGAGCTGATTTATCTTCTGCAAAGGTAACGAGTCGTCACGCACCGAGTGTACCGGGGGTTTGAGCTGGTGTTGGAAGAAGCGTGCTAATTCTGGTCAACAACATACATCTTCCTCCATCCATCTCCTCTTTAAACCTCTAAATCTCTCCTCTTGTAAACCTCTTCGCCAGTAAATCAATCTAGATGCTTTCAGAAATGTTCTGTTGTCTTGTTAGTAAAGCATGCCAAGTTTTTATTAATCAGAACCAGATCAGCAAATCAATGTGTACATGTTTTGATGTTAAATTTTGATTCTGTTAAATAAATGACCGCATTTATTCTGATGGGTGAAAGAAAAATGGCGTCTCATGTCACTGATTAAACAATCCTCACAGTTGTCTTGGTCACATGGCATTAATTTAACTCGAAAAAGAAAGAATCTGTTGTATTTAAATAATTAATATTCTTTGTGCTTGAACTAGCTTTAAGAAGAATTAATTAGTAGTGAAGCTGACCCCCACATTCACTACAATATCAACGAGGACCCTTACCAGTACACATACCACAAGAATCGATCAATAGAGGATGCCATCTCCTCTGTGGTCCACACTGCTCTCGCCCACCTGGAGCAGAAGGACTCCTACGTCTGTATGATCTTTGTGGACTTCCCGTATGCCTTCAATACCATGATCCCCCAAACACTGATGGACAAACTGCTCACACTAGGACTAAGCCCCTCCATTTGCAACTGGGTCCTAGACTAACAAGCAGATTGCAGTCAGTGAAGAAGATGAAGGAGATGGCCGTGGACTTCAGAAGGAACAAACACACCTACCACAGTGGTGAAGGCTGCACAGAAGTCTGTTGGAGTCAGCCTCCCCACCATCACAGACACCGACACCTCCAGATGCAGGAAGAGGGCAACCTGCATCATGAAGGACCCCACTCACCCAGCACACACACTTTGTGCCCCGCTCCCCTCATGAAGGAGGTTAAGTAGCATTTTGTGTAGAACCACTAGACTGAGGAACAGCTTCTGCCCTGACGCTGTTAGACTCATGAATATCTAACCAGAATAATCACTGTGTAAAATCACATCATGTTGCTGCTGATCTGTTTCATGTTATTGTGTTCATGTGTGCTCATCTGCTCACACAGAATCATGTTCGTGCTGCTGTTTGACGTATTGTGTTTTTTGTTTTTATGCTATTAGTGCTTAGCATATTTTTAGCTGATGTTTTTCTTAGTTCATATCTTAGATCTTATTACTGTTTTTCTCTTACATTTTATTATTGGATGTAACTGGGACCCTGTGTGCATAATTTTGTTTCACCAAATGTATTGTACCACATGTGGTGCGAAAGACAATAAAGAATCTCTGAATATATAATATATATATATATATATATATATATATATATATATATACACACACATTTCCTTCAGATATCAAAACTTATGAACAACATTTTCTATTTAACTTTTATAAAATAAAAGACAAGACAATTTTGTCTTGAATGTTTTTGAATTTATAAAATAAACTATACTGAAATTATATCTTGCCATGTCTGCGTTCTCAATGCTCGAGGCACTCAGATCATCCTCACCCACTACGTACATCAGAGGACAGTCGATCTTCTCCACCTGCAAAAACACAAGAAGTTGAAGTAGAACAGGAGACAAACTGAGGGTTACTGAGAGGATTTTTAAATGGCCGCCAGCAAATCTAATTTAAAACGCATATTTACTCCCTGGTCTTCAACCCAGTGTGTGATGATTTAGACATTGTTTGTTTTTATTTATTCATCCATACATTTTAAATGTATCAGATCAGATTTCAGTGTGTCATCAGTGTGTACCAGCTATTTTGTCTTATTACCTTGACGATGCTGTCAGGAGGGAGATTAGCAGGAAGGGAGGCCTCTTTGAAAATTATATAACCTTGTTCGTTGTATGTACAATATTTCTCGATGCTAAAAACAAACAAACAAACAAACACAATTATTTGCTTATCCCACCTTTTTGAAATAATTTAAATCATCCAGTTTCATTGTGTCTGTAATCAAAAATAGTCTTAGAGGATGATGCTGATGTGGAGGTGTTTATCGTGTGAGGGTGCAAAGAGTTAAAGGATTTAACACCAACTTTTCTCAAAGCAAAACTGAAATACAGTGATGGGATATCATAAACAGTAAATAATAAAAAAGGCTAAACTTAAACACTGAATTGCAGTTCTGATAAAGTCAGCACTACATAAACAAGACCAGGACTATTTTATTAACTTGCGTTTTGGTTTAAGGTTCAAGGTTCTTTATTGTCATTTGCATCATGTGGAACATGAGGTGGAACGAATTTATGTACCCAAGGTCCCAGTTACACCCAAAAATAGCAAAAATTTAAAGTATAAATAAAAAGAAACTGTATACAAGGATCTAAGATATACATTAAACAATAATAATGTAATATAATACGGTGTATTGTTTTGAAGATCTGAGTTCATTAATTGTGTTATCTTGAACTTTTTCAAATCAAAAGTGATCCAGTGACAAGATAAAAAAAAATGTACTGACTTTGTTATTTAACAAAAAAAAAAAGATGCTTTTTCTGAGGAGAGCTTGAAAGCACCATTGTTTTGGAAGTGTCAATGTGACTATGAACTATAAAACTTGGTGACTGACAGAAGATTACATTCATTTTTCCCACAATGTACAAGTATTAAAGTTTATTTACTTATCAATCAGTTTAGTACTGCCCCCCACATCAAAGGGAGTCACTGTACTTCCAACAGGGCCGTTAATACCAATCAAACAGGAAGGCTGGAAACAAAAACAAGTTGATGGAGGCAAACTTTTAAATGTACAAAAAAACATTAACATGAAGAGATAGATTTAAGATTTAGATATGTTCATTTTTTAAAGCAGATATAAAAACATAGAGGAAGCTTTGTGACCAACTTTAACTCCAGTCTGGGCAGCGATGCGAAGCGTCAAGTAGCATCCAAAGGACAGACCGATGATCCCGACTCTGTCTGAGACGACCTGATGGTGATTCTGAAGTAGCTGGAATGCTGCCTGCCCAGACAGAACATATGATGTACTAGAGAAAATAATTATTTAAGTAAACCCTAGATAAAAGTTTGGACTTTACCCACCTTGAAATATGAATCTCCAACATTGACACGATTTGGCGGACCAGGTAAATCTTTGTGCCCTATGTAGGCAAGTGAAAAGCTAACAAAACCCTTGGATGCAAACAACGAAGAGCGGTACTCCTGCAGTCCTCCACCTAGTCCCCACAGATCCAGCATGGCTGGAAACGGGCCTGGGCCTGCCAGAAAACAGTGCAATAGTTAGAGACCACTGTTCTGTGGTTCATTTTATCCCCCAAATATGGACATTTGGGTATACGTAGGCCTGTCACAATAACAAATTTTGCTGTGCGATTGTCTCAGAAATCATTACGATAAACGATAATATTGTTTGAAATTTGACAAAAATTAGCAATTATTGTCAACTTTAAGAAGAAATGTTGGTTAATTTGTTTTGAGTGTAAAACCTTTTTTGAACACCGGATGGCAGTATAAGACTGAACCGAAGGGTGGATAGTGAGGGAGCGAGCAGAGTGTCTCTTTAAGAAAAATGGGAGGGAAGACCCTTGACGTGACATGAGCTGTCTCTCCTTCCTGTTTTTTCGGTTCTCAAAATGGTGGACGCTTGGTGTGGTTTGAGCTCTTTAGCATAGCATTTTTCACACAAAGCTTTTAATAATAAAAAAAAATCTGTAAGCAAGTTCTCAGCTTCTTTTTGTTGAGAAAAGCAACTTTTCACACGAAGGCACGAGTTTCAGCTGTGAATTTTGGAACTTTGACAAGACAGAGGTGTGCCCACCTCCAGGCCCAGCTCCAGAGTGGGGCCCCGGTGACCCACGTCCAGGCGAGGGAACATTGTTTCCATTGATTGCAATCATCATAAGGGGTCTTTGGGCTGCACTTTGTCTGTACATCCTAAATATCAATCTCAAAAACAACATATAAAGTACAATAAAAGCAAAGTATGACCCAAAATGAACCTATGAGCTACGCCAGAACTAATGGGGGCTGAGGTAAAGGAGTGTTTTCATACAGATACTGTACATAAAAAAACCTCTGTGACAAATTTAAGCCATGACAGAACTGTACCTTTGAAACAAACATGTTCAAGCCTTGAAAAAAGAATGTTGTAAAAAAAAAAACTATGACAAAGGCAGAAGAGAAATCTAAAAGAACTAAAGCAGCCAGAGTCATTGGATAAAAGAAAATCATTAAAAACTTTTAAAAGTGCTGTTGTAATGCTTGGACATGAATTAAAACCAAACTGGAACTCTTTACAAAGACAGTGCACATCTTATGCAACATCTGACTGTATTTAGAATTTCCCTCAGTTCTTAAATAATAAAAATAAAATGTCACCACATAATGTGCTTTAACACTCACCAGGAGGTATGAATAAAGTTCCTACAATTCCATTTTGACGAATCTCCGTTCTCTTCACTCCTGGTGCGAGGTACCACCGTTCAGCAGTAACTGCAGCCAGCTCAGTGGTCTGAACTTCCCTGGGAGAAACGTGACCCTCCAGTAGGGAGATGTACACCACGTAAGGAGTCTCCACATCTTTCTTCCTGAGTCTGTGAATAAAGGGGGACATTTCAGCAGTTAAATCTAAATTCACAATAATGGAAAATGCAGATATGTACTTTGACTTGTATTTGATTTAGGACATTGTAGTATCAAGATATTTCATTTCATTCTTGTTTCCATCAACAAATGCACCATATTGACATTTGGGCATGTAATGTTATTATCAGAATCAGAATAAGAATCAGAATAAGAAACAGAAAAAGCTTTATTATCACTGTACTGAAATACGAGAATATGTCCATATAGTCGTCAGACTATTTTTTCTTGTTTTCTTTACTGGTACTTCCAAGGTCCAAAATGGCCAGATTAGGGTGCATTCTACTGGTCCGTGCTTACAAGTCTCTTCAAGGTCGTTTTCATGCTGACGAGTCCCAAAGCAGCAGGTGGCCTGCAATTCAAATCACTTCTATCTTACGGTTTAGCTCGTAAATCAGCTGATTTTGAGTCCTCAAAGCACGAATCAAACCTTCACATAGGCAGCAGCCTGACGAGGGCCAACTTAGCAGCGACTGTCTTCTTTGTATATTGATAAACCAGGAACCAGACCATTCCAGAAACAGGAAACCTGTTATCATAAATCCAATTATATGCAATTTAGGCGTCCTCGATCGACAGAAAAGGTAGACACATCACATTCCACTTCCCCAGAGAGAGAGTTATCCAGCTGCAAAGTCGAACATGCGCAGTCAGGTCAGTTTTTCACCATCAGATAAAAACGAATAGATCAAGCGTTTACATGCGCACCGTTCGGGTTATGAATTGGCGTAAACCACCCATTTCGTTCTGATCACAAATTATTTCGGATCACCCTGAATAAACAAAAAATAACCCGAACATGGTGTTTACATGATGTGTTTTTGTTCCAAATGGCCGTTTGATCCGGTTACTCATGTCCATGAAAGCATAGCTACTATGAGGATGTCCAAATCCCAAATTGAAGGGTTTTGTGAAAGACGCCTTTGGACTACTAAAGGTTTCACACGTGCATAAGGAGACACACGGGTTTATTTCTATGAAGCGTTCAGGAACAACAAGCTGCCTTCACTTGCCTCAAACCTTCTCTTTCTCCAGGAGCTGGCTGCATCCCCCAGAACACTCCCATCGGCTCACAGCCCAGATAGGAGCCTCCGACTGAATGATCACTGGTCACTGTTGAGTGGACAAGAAGAAAATTAAAAAGAGCTAAACAAAATACTAAGTTAGAAAGACTGTAAACAGTAAATATACAGGTACATGTTAATCTGCTAGTTTATATTTAACTCACAAATGGAACACAGAAACTTTTTGATTTGTTTAACTTTTAGCAAATAGTTCATATTTAACTTCATGTTCTACATAATGAAAATATATTATTTAATACAATAAACAGCTAAATGGCAACAAAATTTAATCAATATTTTAAATGTTTTATTCATGATTTTCAAAACTATCTACACACACAGGTTTCTTATTTACCAGTAAGTTACATCATGCATAAGATATTATGCAGTATGTTCATTAAAAAAGGCATGTTGTTCATAAATTGTACTCACTGCTAAAAGTGCCTGTTGCGTTTGTGTTATAATGGGCAAATGACTCCCACAGGTCTCCCTCATCGCTGTGCATTCGAGCGTACACTGTGACGGGACAGTGGGGGGGCAGGAAGTGACCTTTGATGCTGATCTTTTCATCCACGAGGGTGCGAACAGGAGCGACCGTCAGTAACGGTGCTGGTCTGGCACTGCTCCTCCACCGAACTGAACCTGCATAATTACAGAACAAAGACTTTTCACAATTCTTAATGCGTGAGAAAACTGCAGAGGAAACTCATTTCAACCGCCTGTATCCGCTATCTTGTTCTTTAGGTCTCTACCTAAAGCTCATGACTATAGGTGATGGTAGGAACATAGACCAACCAGTAAACAGAGAGCTTTGCCTTACAGCTCAGCTCCACCTTCACCACAACGGACCGGTATAGAGTATGCAATACTGCAGACGCTGCACCAATCTGTCTGTCAATCTCACGCTCCATTCTTCCCTCACTCGTGAACAAAACCCTGAGATACTTGAACTTCACTTAAGGCAGAACCTCACCCTCGACCTGAAGAGAGCAATCCACCCTTTTTGGGTTCAGGATCATGGCCTCAAATATGGAGGTGCTAATTCTCATCCCAGCTGCTTCAGACTCAGCTGTGAACTGTTCCAGTGAGAGCTAAAGATCATGGTACGATGACGCCAACAGGACCACATCATCTGCAAAGAGCAGAGATGGAATCCTAAGGCCACCAAACCAGAAACCCTCTGCCCACTGCCTGCACCATAAAATTCTGTCCATAAAAGTTATGAACAGTATCAGTGACAACGGGTAGCCCTGGCGGTGTCCAACTCTCACACTGAAGGGGTCCGACTTACTACCAGCAATGCGAACCAAACTCTTGCACCGCTAAAGGATCCTAGTGAGGGTAAAGAGCTGATCCAGGGTTCCACGCCAGGACGGAACCCACACTGTTCCTCCTGGATCTGAGGTTCAACCAACAATCGGACTCGCTTCTCCAGTACCCCTGAATAGACCTTACCAGGGAAGCTAAGGAGAGTGATGCCCCTATAATTGGAGCACACCCTCCAGTCCCCCTTTTTGAAGAGGGAAACCACCACCCCAGTCTCCCAATCCAGTGGCACTGCCCCCGATGTCCACGCAACATTGCAAAGGCGTGTCAACCAAGACATTCCCACAACATCCAGAGCCTTAAGGAAATCAGGGTGAATCTCATCTACTCCCAGAGCTCTGCCGCCTCAGAGCTTTTTAATTACCTTGGCGACCTCAGCCACAGTTAAGGATGGATCAATCCCAAAGTCCCCCGACAGCTTCTTCCATGGAAGACGTGCTGGTGGGATTGAGAAGGTCCGAGAAGTATTCCTTCCACCTCCTGACAACATCACTGGTTGAGGTCAACAGCACCCCACCTTCACTGAACACAGTGTTAGTAAAATGCTGCTTTCCTCTCCTCAGCCGCCTGATGGTTTGCCAGAATCTCCTCGGAGCCGACTGAGAGTCTCTAACTAAGGTCTCACCAAACTCCTCCCACATCCGAGCTTTTGCCTCAGCAACAGCCAAGGCTGCAGACCGCTTGGCCCTCTGGTACCTCTCAGCTGCCTCCAGAGTCCCACCGGCCAACAAGGACTGAGAAGACTCCTGCTTCAGCTTGACAGCCTCCCTAACCTGGGGTGTCCACCACAGAGTCCGTGGATAGCCACCGGGAGAAGCACCGACAACCTTGTGGCTACAGCTCAAGGCAGCCACCTCAACAAGTGAGGCGCAGAACATGGCCCACTCAGACTCAATGTTCCCCACCTCAGCTGGGATGTGGTTAAAGCTCTCCCGGACGTGTGAGTTGAAGATCTCTCTGACAGGTTCTTCTGCCAGGCATTCCCAGCAAACCCTCACTACATGTTTGGGTCTACCGGGTCTGTCCGGCATCTTCCCCCACCATCTGATCCAACTCACTACCAGGTGGTGATCAGTTGACAGCTCAGCTTCTCTCTTCACCCAAGTGTCCAAAGCAAAAGGCCGCAAATCTGATGAGACGACTATGAAGTCAATCATCGATCTACGACCTAGGGCGTCCTCGTGCCAAGTGCACTTATGGACTCCCTTATGTTCAAACATGGTGTTCGTGATGGACAAACTATGACTAGCACAGAAGTCCAACAACAGAACACTGCTCGGGTTCAGATCAGAGAGGCCGTTCCTCCCAATCATGGCCCTCAAGGTCACACTGTCATTACCCACGTGGGCATTGAAGTCCCCCAGCAGAATAAAGGAGTATCCAGCTGGCACACCTTCCAGCACCCCTGCCAAGGACTCCAAGAAGGCCAGATACTCTGAACTGCCATTCGGCATGCAGGCACCAACAACAGTCAGAGCCCATCCACCCACCCAAAGGCGAAGGGAAGCCACCCTCCCATCTACCGGGAAAAACTCCAACACAAAGGCACCAAGTCAGGGGGCTACAAGTAGACCCACACCAGCTCGATGCCTCTCACCATGGGCAACTCCAGAGTGGAATAAGGTCCAGCCTCTCTCAAGGAGATCGGTTCCAGAGCCCATGCTGTGTGTCGAGGTGAGCCCAACTATGTCTAGTTGGTACCTCTCAAACTCACACACACAAGCTCAGGCTCCTTCCCTGCCAGAGAGGTCACGTTCCATGTTCCAAGAGCCAGCTTTGGTAAGCCAGGGTCAGAGCGCCAAAGTCCCCGCCTTCGGCCTCTGCCCATAGCATCATGCACCTGAATTGTATGGCCCCTCCTGCAGGTGGCGGGTCCACAGGAAGGCAAACCCATGCTGCTCCTTCAGGCGAGCCGAACCGGGCCCCATGGGTAGAGACTCGGCCACCAGGTGCTCACTGACGAGCCCCTCCCCCAGGCCTGGCTCCAGGGTGGGGCCCCGGTAACTCACATCCGGGCAAGGGACACTGAGTTCCTTGTTTTATCCTGTCCATAAAAGTCTTTTGAATCACTCTTTGTCTGACCTATCACCTAAGACCAATCTGCCTTGGGAGACTCTACCAGGGGCAATTCCCCGACAGCATAGCTACTAGGATCATTCAGGCGCACAAACTCCTCCACCACAACAAGGTGGCATAAAACTGAAGAAAAAAAAATCTAGCATTACTGGAAAAATAGTATCCCCCACATTGTATGTAAAAGTTTAAACAAAAATGTCATCTTATCTTGTAGCACTTTTAGAGTGTGATGGGGATGACTGTCAGCTACTACCACACCATTTCTCTCTTGTAAATGAGTCCTCAAGGCTCAATGGGATTAACCTGTCTAAATAAAGATTGAATGAATTTAATGAGCTTCCTAAAAACATACACACAGAATTACCTGTAAGCTGCTGCAGACATGTCAGTTTCCCATAAACCTTTTGAAGAAGTTTCATCTTCATGCTGTTGAGCTGCAGTATCGCTGTCACACTCACACCTGCTCTGAACATTACAGCGTCTTGGTCCAGTCTGAAAACAATATGGAGAAAATGTCAAGTTCATGCGCAATGATCCAGGAAAAAAATCCAACAATGTTTAGTCAGATCATCTGGACCTGTGTAGAACAGGGAGAAAATGTCAAACTCCAAATTAAAGCTGCAAGCAGAGATGAACGGTCCTTGCACCTTAATGATGCTTGCAATTCAAGGATTCAAAGTTCTTTATTTGTCATACACACCATAAGTGATGCATGTGGTGGAACAAAATTGTGTACACAGGGTCCCAGTTACATCAAACAATAAAATGTAAAAGAAAAACAGTTATAAGATCTAAGATATGAACGGAAAAAAAAGTTGAACTAAAAATACACTAAGCACTAGTAGTATAAAAAAATATGCAGAACGGCAGCATGAACATGTCTGTGTGAGCAGATGAGTACAAGTGAATACAGCAACATGAAATAGATCAGCAGCAACATGAAATAGATCAGCAGCAACATGATGTGATTTTTTTTCACAGTGATTATTCTAGTTAGAGATTCATGAGTCTAACAGCCTCAGGGTAGAAGCTGTTCCTCAGTCTAGTGGTTCTACATTTAATGCTCCTCAACCTCCTGCCTGAGGGGAGCGGGACAAAATGTGTGTGTGCTGGGTGAGTGAGTTCCTTCATGATGCAGGTGGCCCTCTTCCTGCATCTTGAGGTGTAGATGTCTGTGATGGTGGGGAGACTGACTCCAACAGGCTTCTGTGCAGCCTTCACCACTCTCTGCAAAGCTTTTCTTTCTGCAGCTGTGCAGCCTCCATGCCACACGTTGATGCTCGAGCACAGGATGCTCTCCACTGCACACCTGTAGAAGGAGGTGTGGACTGAGCTTCCCAGACCAGCTCGCCTCAGCTGCCTGAGGAAGTAGAGTCTCTGATGAGCTTTCTTGATCAGGCTGGAAGTAATGTTGTCCCAGCTGAGGTTGTCATTCAGGTGCACACCCAAGTACTTGTAGCTGGAGACCACTTCCACCACAGATCCTCCTATGGGGGGAGTAAGTGTGTTTGTTCCTTCTGAAGTCCACAACCATCTCCTTGGTCTTCTTCACATTGATGTGAAGGTTGTTCTTCCTGCACCAGCTCTCCAGGTTTTCCACCTCTTTTCTATAGCTGGACTCGTCATCTGTTTGTGATGCATGCATCCCACCATCACTGTATCATCTGCAAACTTTACAATGTGACAGCAATTCCAGGCAATATGCACTGTCACCTCCACTCAAAATAGTAGGAAAACAAAACTCATAAATCTCCAGGAGCAGTTTGTCCAAATGTATTATTAATTTTATGTTATTAACCTTTATTTAACCAGGCAACTCCCATTGAGATCACAGATCTCTTTTGCAAGGAAGGCCTGGGCCTGAAGGCAGCCTAACATGCATGTTTTTGGTCTGTGGGAGGAAACCGAAGTACCCGGAGAAAACCCACGCAAGATGAGAAGAACATGCAAACTCATCACAGAAAGACCCCAGGTCCAACCAGGGATTGAACCCAGGACCTTCTTGCTGTGAGGCAACAGTGTTAACCACTGAGCCATTGTGCTGCTATGTAAAAGTTAGAAAGGGAAAAAAGTGGTTTCAAATTTGGCACGGTGAGTCAAAATGACCGCCATCCACAGTTAAATGCTACCTTGTTATACGTCATCTTACAAACTCTTAAGTCAGAAAATGATGACCATGAGTAAATCGTGACTTCCTGCTATCAGTGGGCGGGGCTAAGGATATGGAGTAATTTTGAAATTTAGATGTGTTGAGGATCAGACTGTTCTCAAACTTTGCACTTTGGTGCAGACCAGATGTTTTATGTTGTAGATATAACAAGTTTTTTTAATTTGTGTTTCATGGCAAGAAGCCAAAGTTTAAAGTTTTACCATGCCCACATGCTGAGATAAAAAAAAATAAATCAAGCATTTGATCACCTTTAATCCACCATGTCTTAATAATATATTGACCAAGGTCGAAGTTGATGCTTTAAAATCTCCAGGAGTTCATTCATGTAAAAGGTGGAAATGGCCAAAAAAAAAACTTAAAAATCATGACTGTAATTTGAAATGGCTGACTACATGTATGTATCTAAGGACAATGATGTAAGAGATTTTTTTGAAGTCCTTGATGAGCTTAACAAACAAAACTCCACCAGAGACAAGAATTTGTAAGAAAAGTTTGTTTTTCTCACTAAAAACTTAAACAAAGCAGAAATTCAGTTTTTAAACTATCCAGATTAAAGTGGAAGTAGCCTAACAAATCTCTACAACATGTAAGATATTTTTTGTTCATAACCTTTGCACAGAAACCCATTTAAAGTCAATTCAGTTTATTTATACAGCGCCAAGTCACAACAGAAGTCGTCTCAGGGCACTGAACAGAAACATTCACATATATAAATAATAATTTAACATTATTTATCTGAGGAGCAGACTGCTTTGAGTTTAACTCCATCACAGAACTCTCATCTTGAGCAAGCATGAAGGCGACAGTGGAGAGGAAAAACTCCCTCATGAGGACGAAACCTTTAGCAGAACCAGACTCAGGACAAGCGTCCATCTGCTTCAACTGGCTGGGTTTGAGAGGAACAGATACACAGTGGCAGGTCAAGAAGCACATGTAAAGATAGAAATAGTCTCAAATGAAAACTATTCAATTTCAGCAAATAATTTAAGTAAACAAGGTCAGTTTGTCCTCTAGTAGTCAAAGCTTAAGGCAGCATAACAATCCAACCCTAATAATAGGATTTATCAAAAAGGAAAGTCTTAAACTGGACCATGTGTCAGTCTTATGGACAGAAACTGGAAGTTGGTTCCACAAGAGGAGCCTGATGACTGAAAGATCTTCCTCCCATTCTGCTTTTGGAAAAAAAAAAAATCTAAACTATCAGTTTAAGGCCTGCATGAACATTGAAACACATTCCCCTAGTTATTAAACTTGAAGTTTAAATCCAGGACTCTAGATCCTGTTAGTTTATAGGATTAGTACAAGACTCATTCAACCTTATTTATGCAGGTTAGTCTCTTAAACTCGGGACTAAAACCACTAACTTTGTTATTTAAATCCGACCCATATTTAAAGTATTCATGCCAGTCATTATGAGTAACACTGAAATAAATAATGATTAACCAAACTGGTGCATATACTGAACTCCTGAAAGAAAAATCCATGGAGCAAAGAGCAGATCCACCAGGTGAAAGTTGATAAAAACACAGGACTGTCGAGAGGAACAATCTGCAGAAAGTGCAAGAAGAAAATAACAACGTGCTGCTGTTTGAGTCGAGCATGATGAACCTGAGAAGTTCAAATGTTTCCTCACCGTTTGTGTGAACAGAGTCTGCAGGAACAGGAAGAAGCTGCAGACAGACAGGAGGGATAAACAACCTTTAAAGGAGGAAGGTCCACTCAGGCCTGGATGAATCTATACAACCTGGTCAATCAGTTATTGTTGTTTAGACTTTGTTATCTGTCAAGATTTGTCAAAATTTAACTACTGTTTGTTTGTAAACTCTTTACCGCCACCAGCTGGTCTGGAGGAGTCATTACTTCAACATCTTCTGGAACTAACAAGGTCAAGTTTCATTATTGTCATTAACATCACATGTGGTACATGAGGTGGAACGAAATTGTGTACACAAGGTCCCAGTTACATCCAACAATAGCAAAAACATAAATTGTTAAAATAAACATTAAATAAGGATCTAAGATATAAACTAAGATATATGCTAAAAAACACCAAACAGTATGATAAAAGATCTAAGATATATGCTAATCAGTCACTAATTGTGCAAAACAATACACCGAATAGCAACAGCATGAAACATGAGTCTTTGTGGGTAGATGAGTACGAATGAACACATTAGCATGAAATAATCAGCAGCATGAGATCAGCAGCACATATGACCAATCAAAGTTGCATTACAGTGATTTTTTTCACAGTGATAATCCTGATTAGGGATTTATGAGTGAAGGTTCTTCATCCTGCACCAGCTCTCCAGGTGTTCCACCTCTTGCCTCTAGCTAGACTCATCATTGTTTGTGATGCATTCCACCACCACTGTATCGTCTGCAAACTTTACAATATGACAGCCTGGAATCAGAATCAGAATCAGAATCAGTTTATTATCGCCATGTCAATGAACGAGGTTCACAAACTAGGTATTTGCTTCGACATAAGGTGCGAATAGTAGTAAAGTAAAATAAAGTAAAAATAAAGTAAAAATTAAGTAAAAATGAGAACATTACATAAGACATAAGCCTGTGTACACCCACAAATAAAGTAAAATTAAAAACATAACATAACCATATGTACACCCATACAATAGAAAACAATAAAAAAGCTTAGAAAACAGTACAGATGGAGTATTCAGTTATAATACAGATGTAATGTGACCAAAGCAGACATTATGAGGTAGCATTATGAGTGTTCAGGAGTCCAACAGCAGAGGGGAAGAAACTGTTCTGAAACTGGATGGGTAGGTGCGCAGTCATATGTGAGCAAAGTGAACAGGAGGGGGCTCAACACACAGCCCTGAGGGGAGCCAGTGATGAGGATTATGGTGGAGGAGGAGAATTGTGGATCCTCACAGACTGTGGTCTGTTTGTTAAGAAGTCCATGTCCCAGTTGCATAGGGAGTGGCTTACTCCTAGTGTGAGTAGTTTGTCCATCAGTGTTTGGGGGATCATGGTGTTGAAGGCGGATGTGAAGTCCACAAAGAGCATACGGTCGTTGGAGTCCTTCTGCTCCAGGTGGGTGAGCTTCAGAACCTCCTTCCTGCAAACTGTCTCATCTCCCTTAGACAGGCTGTCACCTGTAAACCAGTTGATCCACTATGAGAAGGAGCTGCTTATAAGACAGTTTGTTCAGCTCCACAGACTGAAGAAGTCTTTTGGATAAAAGTTTAAACATTTCAACAAAGAAGAATCAATCAATCAATTTTTTATCAATCAATTTTATTTATAAAGCACCCTTCATACTAAAAGCAGCTCAAAGTGCTGTCCATCCATCCAGAGGACCTGTAGATAACTTGTAGATGACCAGGTAGATAACCTCTACCTGGTTTATTGAGCATACAAGCCTAATCTTTGCTCAGTCGGTTCCTTGGCTTTAAACAAGCCAGAGATTAAGACACAAGAAGCAAATGAATCAAAAACCTGTAAAGATTAGATGTGTTGGGTTATTTTTTTTAATAATGATGTACATTTTCACAACACTGAATGAAAAGTTTAGTCCAGTTAGATTAAAAAGAAATGTGTTTCCTTCCACCGATCAACAACACAAGTGGGTGTGATTTTAGTCAATAATAAACTGAAAAACGTGTTGTAGCATTACACTGTCACCAGCTGGGGGCACTAGTGCTCTCTGACGTCATTTGCTAAACTCCAAAAATACACGAAGAAGAGTAAGTTTTGTTTCCGGTCACCTCCTCTGACGTGTTTGTTGTGAACAAGGCTTAGCTAGTGTGGTATTAATCTTCTAAAAAACTAATTCAACTCCGATAGAGCTTCTAAAACCATCAATAACCGAATAGAAGATCGGTTAGAGAAGTTTCAAGCCCTGTTACAATGTTCAGGTGTGTTTTTTTCTTCTTTTTTTGTGTGCTAATAATCATGCTAACAGAAAACGTAGGCTATTTTGTGTTTTTCGTATTAGCATTCAGCGGTGTTTAATCTCACTTCTGTTTTTACTGAATGTCAGGACAGGGTTTGTTGTGTTCATCTCTTATGAAACCGATACCGTAACTGAAAATTATGCTGATGTTTGAACTTGTGTTGCTAATAGGTTTAGCCACTTGTTAGCGTGCCTCTCTTCTTAGCAATAGTAGCTAACAAGTTGTCAATATTTTATGCAATGCAAGCTATAAAAGACAACAGAGTAGTTTTATCTGTATCACGACATTAATACTTTTTAGCGAAAATCTTCTGAAATCGATGTACTGATATATATGTTCTAGAGAAAAATGTAAATATCATGGCTTAAAATTTTAGCAGATTGGTGTTCAACCTAAACAGACAAAATATATCACAAAAACAATACTATTGAGGAAAGGTTTACCAATTTTTTTTACCAAAATCCATGGTTTTATTTGTAAAAACACATTTGAATAAAATAAGTATATTTTTGCCTACGCATGTTATTGATTATCAAGTTTATGATGATCAGTTGAACTTGTTCTTATTTTTTTCCTTGTCAACTTTGATCATTTTAAACTAAAGCACAAGATTGACCTAATTTATCACCTTTCACTTTTCTTTTCAGAGCATGAGGTCACATACAGGTTTGTACTGAATGGGCCAGGTGGAGACATTTGTGGCCAGCTGCTAACATCCTTTAAGCCTGCATGTGCGACATCGATCAGCGATGGGCAGCAACTTCCGCAGCTACATCTGGGACCCGGTCCTCATCGTCTGTCAGATTGTGTTGATGCAGTGTATCTACTACAGCTTCTTGGGCCTGTGGTTGGCTGGTGTGGATAGTCTTGTGCAAAGTAGTAGATCACTGGATCAGATCTTTAGCTATGAGGTAAGCTTATTGTTCAAACTGTAAAAGCAATTTCAGTCGTGTTTTTGGCACTTTTAAACTGGTGCTTATAAACATTTGCTTGTCTTTCTTAGGTTCTTGGTTTTGCCACCATGCAGGGCAGGCTCTCGATGATGGCATTCATCTTGAACTCTCTTACCTGGTGAGAAATGGCTTCTGTATTTTTCTGTGCACACGTTTAAGCATTGTTGTTAAAGCATGTCACAATATAAATATTTCAAATAACAGGAATTTTTTTACACACCTTTGCTTGTCTCTATTTACATCAATTGAACAAATATCTTAAATATACTTTTTTATGATTAGTTTGTGGTAATTCATGAAGTTTAGCATCACTGCTTAGTCATGTGTCAAATTAGGTGCATATTGCCTACCAGACTCTGGCATGAGTCAGAATTCGGTGTAGAAATGATTGTTAAATGAAACAACAAAAGATTAAGTGTTTTGCTGTCGGTTCTTCTCCTTCTATGACAGATGAAGGCAGTGGCAGTGAAATTTTTGCCTCAAATATTCAGTGGCATATTTGAGGGTGAGAAAATGCCTGAGGAATGGAGAAGAAGTGCGCTGGTGCCCATTTTTAAGATCAATGGTGATGTACAGAGTTATAGCAACTACAGGGGAATTAAGTTTATGAATCAGACAATGACGATCTGGGAAAGAGTTGTGGAAGCAAGACTTAGACAAGAGGTGACTATTTGTGAGCAGCAGTATGGTTTCATACCTTAAAAAAGCACTGGCGACCCCATCTTTGCTATGAGGATGCTGATGGAGAAGTACAGAGAGGGTCAGAAATAACTCCATCGTGTCTTTGTGGATTTAGAAAAAGCATATGACAGAGTGCCAAGGGAGGAGGTGTGGTATTGCATGAGGAAATCTGGAGTGGCAGAGAAGTATGTTAGACTGGTACAGGACATGTATGAAGACAGCTGGACAGTGGTGAGATGTTCTGTAGGAGTGACAGATCGCTTCAAGGTGGAGGTGGAGTGCATCAAGGATCTGCTCTGAGCCCCTTCTTGTTTGCTCTGATGATGGACCGACTAACAGATGAGGTCAGGCAGGAATCCCCGTGGACTATGATGTTTGCAGATGACATTGGGATCTGTGGTGAGAACAGGGAACAGGTGGAAGAGAACTTGGAGAAGTGGAGATGAAAGAAGAGGAATGAAAGTCGTATTAAGACAGAGTACATGTGTGTGAATGAGGGAGGCTGGTGGAACAGTGAGGCTACAGCAGAGATCACAAAGGTACAGGACTTCAAGTACTTGGGATCCACTGCCCAGGAAAATGAAGAGTGTGGTAAAGAGATGAAAAGAGAGTCCAGGTAGGATGGAGAAATGTTTCAGGAGTGATTTACGACAAAAGGGTGTCAGCGAAGGTCACAGGAAAAGTTTACAGGTCAGTGGTGAGACCAGCTATATTGTATGATCTGGAGACAGAGACAGGGACAAAAAGACAGAACAAAGAACTAGAAGTGGCAGAAATGAAGATGTTGAGGTTTTCACAAGGATGGATAAGATCAGAAATGAGATCATCAGAGGTACAGCACAGGTTGAACAACTGGGAGATAAAGTTAGAGGCAAGACTGAGATGGTTTGGACATGTCCAGAGGAGGGACAGTGGGTATATTGTAGAAGGATGTTAGAAATGCAGCTGCCAGGAAAAAGACAAAGAGAGGATGTATGGATGCAGTTAGAGAGGACATGGAGGTAGTTGGAGCGAGGATGCAGAGGACGGAGTGAGATGGAGGAGGATGACTCGTTGTGGAGACCCCTGAAGAGGGAAAAGCTGAAAGAAGAAGAAACTGTTGGTTCTTCTCCTGAAAATATGTTTTAGCTTTTTGTAGTTTTTGATTTGGTTTGTTTGTCCAGACAAACCTTATCTGTGAGATGACGTCGATTTTGGACACTTCAAGAGGAAAATGAACTTTGAACTTTGAGTTTTATGGAACATGTTTTTCTCTTGGTATTTTAATCTTTGTCAACTTATCTGAATCTTCTGGTTCTCGTTTTATTATGAATGATAAATGTAAGGATGTATTTACTGTTCAAACTGTTTTTGATCAGTTAAATATTAGAAACGGCTACCAGATATAAATTCGTATAGTTTTTCTTTGGCTGTGTCACCTTTAATGAATAAAAATGGTATGAATAAAAATTTTACCCTGTGTGAGGAGAGGCAGTGGGGTAAAGTAACCAAATAACAGAAATAGAGTTGCAAACTTTAAAGAACAGTGAAAACAAATGTAAACTAAAGACAAGTTTATTTTTATTTTTATTATTATAGAACTTCAATGTGAACCACGGAGTGTCTCTGTCCTTCATCAGATAAACTGAAGATTCCCAATGAAAGTTAAACATGAAAACATTGTAACAAAATATTTTTAGATTTGTTTCTCCTGTTCTTTGTGCTTATTTTACAAATGGCACCAATAATCTCCTTTGCTTTTCAGTTAATTCAGTTCTAAATGTGTTACTCTTAGAAACCAATTCTTAGAAACTTATTTTAGTGGAGTGTTTAATTCTCCCCTATATCTTCCTTTACATCTTGTTTCTTCCACCTTCATAATGACACTGTTGGTTTATATTAAGTCTGAAATAACATGTCTATTTGTTTTTTTCAGCGCTCTTGGTCTGTGGTTCTTCATCCGCCGAGGGAAACAGTGCCTGGACTTCACAGTCACCATACACTTCTTTCATATGATCGGCTGCTGGATCTACAACTCCCACCTTCCCTCCGCCCTCTCCTGGTGGCTCGTCAATGTAGCCTGCATGGCGCTGATGGCTGTGATCGGAGAGTACCTGTGCATGCGGACTGAGCTCAGGGCAATTCCTGTCAACAGTGGACCTAAATCTAACCTGTGAAGGTGTCCTTGATTTCACACTGAATTTTTAACTCAGCAGGAACTTGGTGGGCAGTTATTTTTCTCAGTTTGTAAACAAAAAGAACAAAAATCAGCGTGCGAACACAGACTGGATTGATGTGCATCATCATGTCGTCAAGTGGTCCATCTGCTGACCTGATATTTATTCATAGCTGCTCAATAAATGTTGAACAGTATTATCTGTGTAATTTATATATTACTGTGTAATATATGAAGATCTGTTTGCTTTAACATAACATCTCTGCATGCTGCGTACTTTTTTTAATACACCCCTTGTGCTGCATATCAGATGGTGTCTCTAAAAATTACAATGTTCTGTCCTCACTGTAACATAGACCTACTTGTGATCTGCTTGTGTTTAAGCTGCTTCCTAAAGTTAAAATTACATATTAGGATAACTCGCAGAGTGACACGTGTGTTTTCTGACATTGTAGTCAATCGTGTTCAACCCAAAGATAAAACGGTTTTCCTGCTTCAGAAACTCAACTTTTTATCTATTAGGATGAATGAAATCAGGCTTGGTTTTACATTTTGTGTGTCCAGTCTTATAATGAACCTGCATATTCTGAGACTTTTCTTCAGTTGAGCTTGCTTTTATTTCATTGTGGATATTAGTTTGTCAGCCGTCATTTGTGGTTTGACGCCAGGGAACGTGGTGTTTAAAGTGGAACAGTGCTTCTGTCCATGCAGTCATGGCTTTTAAAAGAACCCAAATTACAGTGTTGCAAAAATATTCACCCTTTTTGTGTGTTTGTTCAGTTTTGTTGCCTTACAGCCTGGAATTCAAAAGTTTTTCTTATTATAATAAGTTTCCAGGTCATGTTTGTAAATGAGAAACTGGTTTTTAAACATTTCATCTGGTAAAACAAGTTGCAAATAAAATAAATTTCGTTCAACTTTTATTTAGACAGGTTAATCCCATTGAGCTTCGAGGACTCGTTTACAAGAGAGACCTGAAATGAAAGATAAAGGGGTGTTAATTAACTAAAATTCTTAATTTGCAAAGTGGTGCATGTAAATATTTTCACCTCCATAAAATGTACACTTTGTAGAAGCACTTTTTGAAGCATTAGCATCATCATAAATTATCTTCATTCTTTATCAGGAAGAGCTCTAAATCTTACCCTAGATTCTCTGTTGGACTGAGATCTGGGCTTGCACACTGAAATTAAGTGTATACTCTGAAATTAGTGTAAATGACCTGTTCTGGAACATTCTGAGTAGTTTTAAAACATTTAAACAGCAGCACTGAGTAAATTAAATTAAAACGGGAACAAACTTGAGCCTTCAGCTACAAGAGAAGACTCTTAACAGAACCCGCTCAATACAACACTACAGTCTCGTTTATACAATCCAATATGACTGAAAACGAATTGTATAAAAATAAAGACAAGAAAGCTTTATTATGGATCCTACAGTATGATGAGAACAATAAAAGTGTCCAGAAAAAGAGTTGACCCACTGGTGTTTCTTTACGACTGCTGCTGAAAGGCGAAGGAGGTGATTTACCTCTCGTGAACCACTGAACCGTTAATGAAAATCAGAATGTAATAATTGGATAGACAGCTACACCTGATTTATCTTCTGGAGTCAATAAAATTCAAAATGGCCACCATAGTTAATTGAAATCAGCCAACACACACACAAAAAAAATGCTATAACTGTTAATACAAATGGAGCTAAATCTTGATGTGGGAGCTGAGTGTCATCCCCAACACATACTGTGAGTGCTGCAGTTCAAAATGTTGCACATGACTGCAGGTAATGCAACAACTTTCATTATAAGATTATCTTAGTCTGAAACTGGCATGGGGGCGGCGGGTGATATGCATTCAGGATGGTTCGGCTTTTGGAATGTAGTGAGTGGTTTGGGTAGGATGAGGTGTGAGGAAAGCAGTGATATCAACTGTGTGTGGAAGTGTCAGAGCAGGGAGGATAAATTAAACAAGTTTTAATTATGTTTCAGACTTAATTTTTTTCCCCCCAATAAAATGTACATCTTGAGCGCGTCTACTTCTGAGGCTGTGACCCCTCATCTCCCCTTCTGCCTCTGCAGGAACGATCCAGGTGGAAAAAAAGCAGATGGTAGAGCACTAATGAGTACAAAAAGCAGAAAGTCTAGTAAATTAATGGTTCAGGCAGCACAAGGCTGTCTGCCGGCGTCTCACATCATTTCACACGCAGTTCTTGTTTTTAACTCTTGTGCTTTATTGTTACAATTACATTTCCATATATTGCTTTACAGAGTCGTGTAAATAACCTTTGTGTTAAAAACCAGATTGGTTTTACATTCAGGACTGTTTTCAGGTTTAAACTGTGATTAGAGTTCATTACAGTGGCATATTGTTTATGATCAAAATCATTTTCATGCTTTCATCACCAGCATATAAAGAAGGAGGGTCCTCTTCAAAGAGGTACATATTGCTCATGCTTTGAGGACAACCATACCATTTTTATTTTATTTTTTTGCATTTCTACCAACAGGCACACAATGGATGACAGAACGCTACAACTTTGAAACGGATAAAAAACAGAATCGAGCGGAGCAAACTTGCTCGTGGAGTTAAACGGGGATGCGTAAACCAGCAGTTAGCTAAACTTCATGCACGGACCACTTTACACTTTGGTAAAATTAACACAGTCCAGTTTTCTGAGGCATTGTCACAAACAATATCATGCACCTGTGAGGAAACATTGACAAAAAAATATTCAAGACCATACAGTTCTATTTGCCAACACCTGTCAGGACCCTCTGGGTTAAATAAGAAAGGCAAATGACACAATAAATTAAAAAAAAGTATGCAGATAAATATTTTCATTTTACTGACGTGATGGTGTAAACCCATCACATAATGACTTCTCAATGTGGTTTAATCGAGACTAATTGAGGGGAAATTATGAAAAAAATATTGAATAAATAGGACATTTAAAAACAACCAGAGTTCACCAACGGTGATCCAAAAAAAGATAATAAAATTCAGTATATAAAAAGAATAAAGATAAAATGAATCCAATAAATATTATAAAAACACAACAACACACTAGATTGCTTCTACTTGAGTTGAACTAAAGAAAAATGAGGCGCCTTTATTGGCGATTTAAAAGGTCTGTGTATTTTTTTGTAGAAGTAACAATTTAAATAACTGGAGCGGTTGCTGCAAAATATTGATGACCTTTTTTAATTTAATCTGGATTTTGAAACATTTAAAGGTGTTCAGACCTGACACAAGTCCTGGCTGAATCGATCAATGCGCAAGTTTGTTCACTCCTATCATTAAAATCCATTTTAAGCGATTGGATGTCAGGACGGATGTTAGCGTCAGCTTCTACAAAACCCTGTTTGGTTGAGTGGATATTGAAAACACAAGTTCAATAAAATGGGGCTAGGCCATTTAAAACATTAAAACTGAGCAGCATTTTGAAATCAATCTGGAAATATAGTTGATGTGAGAATCATTACATCTGTTCAGTCTGAACTAAACGACTTCTGTCCTGTTTTCACTGAAACTTGTCGGAGTTAGAGAAGTTTAAAATAAAGCTACAAACATCCAGACGAAGGAGATACAGGAGCCAAAGTCTGTCTCCTTCGAGCTGCACATGTTCAAATAGGAGTTTATCTAAGCAGACAGCAGTGACAGTTAAACACCTCAGTATTAATGAGGGTGCTGGAAGAGCTCTCACTTTGCTTAGTCATTCAAAGTGTGTTTATGTATGGACCAATCACATCCTTTTTCATCACTTGAGAGTGACGAGCCAAGAAAGACCCACTCTAAAGCAGGAGCTAAGAAGACCCAATAAACAGTCTTGAAGACCACAGATGGCTACACTGCAGTGCACGAACCAACTGAACTGAACATGAACGAGCATAAATAGTTATGCGGATTATAACTCGTCCCAAGCTGATCCTTATATTTCAAATAGAGCCCCAAAGGCAAATGAGTAAATATCAGTGTCCCAATAACGGATCCCTGAGGAATCCCATAACTGAGAGGGGTTGCACAAGAACAATAAGCATCTTTGGCATTGAAGAGAAATCAATACAGAACTGCACCTCTAATGCCAACAATCTGCTGAAGTTATTATGAAGATATTATGATCAATATCAGCTAGGCTGCTACAAACCACAAAACTTAAATTGATTTAACTTATTCCAAGTTTCAGCTTTAGGCGAAAAAAGCTAAAGTTTTCTTACATTTGAGTGTCAAAAGCTTTTATTAGGTATTCAGCGAAATTAGGTTTTCCTTGTCTGTTTACTATAATACACTGAACAGCTTTAAACAAACAATTTAAAAAAAGAAATAACATTTTAACACGACCGTAGTAGTTTTGTTTATCGTTAATTGTATTGAAGTGGAATAAATGTAAGTTTTTCAGTTTAACTAATCTGGCTTACCTCACTACTAAACAATTGGGATTTTTCTCATGTTTAATCAGCTTCAAAGCTCAGATTTGTATTTTGTAAAGCCTTCGCTTCTAGTTCCCCCAAAGTTTCAATCCTCCAAATCACTGCAGGTGAGCGATTTCACACAAAATGTGGCAGAAATCCGCAACTCAGTCACACTTTAGTTATTTTTATGCACATATCAATGGGTGAAACAAAAAGAGCTAAGAGAAAACGAAAGCATGAGCAGATTGTGACAGAGACTGTTTTTGGTGTCTTTGTAGCAGCTGTGCAACATTAGAAGGCTGGAAACTTGTAGTGCGGGCTTAGAAAGGGTTAAAAATATACAAAATGCTTATTCAACACATGAAAGCAGGTTCAAAACTATTTAACAAAGATTAAAATGACATTGTAAGAATGCTACTCTGCAAATGAGTTTTGTCGTTTAAAGAATCCCCTTTGGAAACGTTTTTCGTATCAATGAATAGTTTTGTAAAGTCGAGGGTTTTGCTGATATTGCTGTTATTTTAAGGGAAGCGCTCCTTGGTGGTAATCTTTAACAGTTATTTAATGTTTGCACTCTTATGGCTTGGCTCAGTAATATTCACACAAACGCAGAGGAGATTAAAGTAGGTGTTTGAATACTGACACGCACCTGCGGATCAAGAATAAAAAGCAGTTTGACATTTTGTACACCGTCTGAACATTAAAAATTCAGCACACTTCCTGTTGGTGTTCAGCAGGCGTCAATCAGACCGACGGGCACATTAAAGTTCAATGGGAGTTGGTTCGTTTCACTGTTCCACTTTTGCAAATGCAACTGATATAGCTCCATTTCTATTAGCCCATTATTGTTCTTAATCTTCGCCGTAAACTGAGATATTTAGTTCAGTGCAGCTTGTTTCAACCAGATTATAAAGATGGACGTCTGCCTTCTCCTCTTGTTCAAAACTGAAGCTAAAATGTCTGTATCGTGTCTTTATTTTTAAATACGGGCTACACTCATCAACTGCAGCCTCCCATCATAATCTAAACGTAAATGCTGATGTATTCAGGTCAGTGAACGTCACATAAATTTTACTGGATAACAGTCGTACATGAAAAGTCTTTGTTATTATTATCCACTTGAAAAGGGTCTTGCACTTCCATTAACTTTAATGCGGCCCGAACCGCAATGTGTCCCCCCCACAAACGTTATATCAAAATCACCGGCTCGGCATCATGATGTGTGCTATTACTTTTATTGGCATTTCAAGTTACCATGGCGACGTAATTTGCAAACAAAGACGCCATTTTCCCCTCATTCAAAATGCCCGACGGAACTTTTAACAGCCTCTAAGCCACAGTGAGGTCACATGACCTAGACGGAAGAGGTCTCTGAAAAAAAAAAAAAATCTGGAGCCATTTTGGTTCAAGATGGCTGCCACAGCTACCTTAGAAAACTCAAAATTGACTATAACTCAGTCATTCTTGGAGAAATTGAGCTGACATTTGGTTTGGTCGTAGCTGAGAACGTTCCCCATCACAAACTGAATGCAAATCAAAATCCAAGATGGCCACCATAGCTTACAAGAAAAAAATTAATGTAACTCATTTATTTTATTTTTTTGCCACATTAAGCTGAAATTTGGTATGGTAGTAGCTGAGAGTGAACCGAAACACACAGCATGAAAACAAAAATTTTAAATGGCCGCAGTGTGGCAGTCCCCGTCAAAGATTCTCCAGGAATTTTCTAGTTTTTGTTGCTGAGCTTTTTTAATATGTGCATTATCTGTCAGATTTTTATGTTATAGAAAAACTCAGGTTTATAGATTGACTATATTCTCTTTGTGGATAATTTACAAAAACGTTACCAGCGTCTCAAAAAGTTCTACTGGAACACTTTAGCTTAAAACGGACCCACTACCGTGTTACTTGATGTTCACCCACTCAAATACAATAATAATTATCTTGTTTCATGACAACATACTGTTGCCTTTAGGCTAAAAATGAATAAACCTGGCACTGGAAATGTAAAGAAAAAGAAGTGGATTAAAAAGAAAAATCTCTTCCAACCCTTTCAGTGATCAGATTTAGTTTAAGTTGTATAAAGATATAAAAACAGACAACATGCAACTTTCTGTGTTGCCAGGCGTCTGGTTGCAACTTTTACTCTGAACAAAGTGACATCAGTTTTTAGGTATCTACTTTCTAAGATGACAATTATTTCTTTTAACGATAATGTGATGTATTAACTCTACAACCACTGCTTTAAAAGGACTTTGAATCCAGAAGTTGAATCTTCACAGAGGTGAACGCTGAAGGTCATGTTTGGATTGAGCTGGATTATGCTAACTGTGGTACAGAAAGATGTCTAACCCGTGTTTATTAGCAGCCCAGAGCCACAGGTGTTTAGGAACATTTAAATACTTTAAACCAAGGGACTGATTGCTTTAAACTGCAAACATTATTCATCAAAACAAAGACTGATTGTCCTGCCATAGAACATGTGTAGCTCTGCACCAAAAAGATCCTTTAAAACTTTTTTTTAATAAATCCTTGGCTTGAGGTTTGAGTTCAGCAGGACTGAAACTCATAGAACAGGACCCCACCCTCTGTCTCATCACCCACAATCCCAGCACCACGCCCTCTATATGGGGGACCAGCTGGGCCCTGACACGACCAGCACCAGTGACAGGAGAAGAGCAGCAAAAGGCAAACTTATACTGGGAGAGGAGCTGGGGCTGCACAGGTCAAACAGACTTCCCTGGAAGCGGATCTTCCTGGAGTCCTGCCTCAGGGTCTCCCAGATGGAGCTGACCTCCTCCTTGCAGTCGGACAGCGCCGTGAGAGCGCACGTGTGGAAAGCTTCCCAGTGGCTGTGGTAAAACAAAGAAAGCATCACTCAGAATCCTCCACACACGGGTTGTCATGGATTAATCTGTTGGCCAATAATCTATCGCTCAGATGTCTTAACTGGCCTTCAAGTAAGTCAAACTGAGCCTTTAATTGCCATGGCAACTGCCTCACAGAGCCAAACATCACACGTAATATTACAAGCGGACAATATTCAACACAAGGCTTGCAAGTGTAAATCTTTGTCTTCGATAAACTGCTGGGGACGTAGAGTTTGAGCCAGAATGATGAGAAAAACATGTCCCCAGAATTTCATTACAGCTGCTGCGACTTCATGAAATATTAAATACAAAGGCTCAGTGTCCTGACATCAGTGTCTCTGCTCAAAGACAACAACCTCTGCTCTCCCTCTGAAGTCATTTCTAAAGAAATGCACATTTATTTGTATCCGTGCACTCAGTCATGCACGTTTTATTAAAGTGAACACCAGTGTTGTGAAGAAAAAGCTTTTGTTTTTTAGGTAATGCTACACTTTCAAAGTGTATATTCAGTTTGGTGCAAACAGAAACAGATGTGTGGACGATTACAGATGTTGTGCTTTCTTACACATCTTAAACCCACTGTCACCTGCAAACAGCCGCCACGCCACTCTCACTGGTCACGTTCTCCTGGTAGTTGTCCATGCTCTGTCCCAGCTTCAGGACACAGTCAGAGAAGTCCCGATAAACGTTCTCACAATTCACATCTGCAGCGTCTCCAGGCACTGTAAGGAACAGGAACACTGCAAGGAAAAACAAAAAGTAAATCAGGGGCAGTCTTCGTGATCCAACTTGTATTTGGAGATTTATGAACTATAAAACAGACACACTGAAAAAGATAGTTTGGATTATTTTTTTTTTAAGTTGGGTTCTGTGGATGTGTTATAAGCAATTATTATCTTACCTGTTGTAGATACTCTTTGAACAATCTCAGTGTGGAGAAATAAGATTTCCCCTTGTATCGTATTTAGGGAATTTTTTCCCCACACACATTAATCTTTGTCTGCGCTTTTATTTATTAATTTATTTTAATACTGTCAATAAACATGAAACATAAAAATCCTTAAAGTTTTTTTTTAGTTGCCAATTTTTTCAAACGCTCTCATAACCTCACAGTAACTCTCACTCATGTTCCTGAGGGAGAAAATCCACCACATTAATAAAATACTTTGTTAAAACAATTTTTTGTTCCTCTCAGTAATATATTTTTCTTATAATCTTGGTTACTACATTAGAAGGTGTTCTGCTTTATTATTTGAGAGCCTCTGGAAAAATAATCTTGTTCGACAAAATCACTTTAGTTTGGATGTAAAAAGCAAAATAATCAATTGTAACGTGCACAAGTAAACATTTAGTACTAAAAAGTTGTTCCACATCAATGCAGGATGCAGAATAGGATGAATTGTGGGAAAAAAAGTTTAAGAAGGGGATCAATTTTCCCTCTAAGGAACATTAACGGTCAAAGTTAAAGTACAGTGCATGTTTTTTATAAGGACAAAACTTGCTCGCATGAACATATTCATATTCAGTGACCACATCCTGCTAGAGAGGAACCATTCAGCCTGCTAATATTAAACACACAGTTCAAATACCTGCCTCTCTGTTGGTATAGGGGTGCATTGGAGCCTAACATATGGGCACCTTACACATCTTAAAAAGCACCATCAATTAAATATATGTAGGGGTTTTAGAACAATATGTTTCCAACCAGATGTTGTCTGTTTCGGTGAAGGCCTTGAATATTTCAGCAAGACAATGTCAGCTGCATTCCATTACAAATACCTGCTTTGTATTCAGAGTCTGGGCGCTGCCTGCAGTCCAGACCGCTCACCAGTTGAAAACGTTTGACACATCACGAAACATAAATCCTGCAAATATGACCCAGGGCTATGTTGAACAGCTCGAGTAGAAGATGCTGCACATGGCACTGACCAAACGTTTTGAGATGGGAACAAATTTGAGATATATCTTTTTTTCTGTTCTAACGAATGTTCCAGTCTGAATAAAACATGGGTTTATGAGATTTACAAATCATTGCATTCTGTTCTTACTCACATTGTACACATCATTTCAAATTTTCTTTTATATTAGAATCAGAACTTACTATTTCGTACTATAGTAATTTGCTAATTGCTGGAATTACAGTATGCTGCGTGTACAAGTGTGTGTGTGAGTCCCACTTTAAGCTGCCAGGTTCTGGTTTAATGACAGGAGAAAAGGACTTGAGGTGTGGACGGGTGTCAAAGAACTTCAAGTGTCTTTATTAGAGTTGAGACTGGGCACACGGTCACTCATGAGTACTGAGGCACAGCGAAATACTGAGAACGTGACGAAGAACCCACAAGGAGACAGAACACAGGAGGGTCTTTAAACTAATTAAGTAAACTGGAAGCATCTGGGACATTTAACTGGAGGGAATAAGGTCCTGAACACACACACACACACACACACAAAGAGTACACAACCTGTCCTGTGAGAGGTTGTTTATAACCTCTCCCCACAAAATAGAAATCAGCAAATATTTGTGCTTATGAAATATTTTCCAGGGCAGGATTAGCATCATTCAGGCATTAAACTGACATATATTATAAGGCTAGGGCAAATTTTAGATTTAATTTATAGGCAGACCTGTTTAATAAAGAAAAGGGGAGTTTTTATGTTCTGGGGTGTAGCTATATGAAATTCACTGCAGAACTTGGATCCATATTTCTATTAGCTCTGAGTCTTGCAGGCACCAGATGTGTCAGGTTGCTGCTGGCCCTGGTCCAGGTCTAACAGCGTCGGTCCAGAACTAGCATCCACACAAAACCCAGTCCCGTTCAGCGGCTTGGGGCGTGAATGAAACGGGTCTTACCAAAACCAGTTATTGCGAGAATCACTCCGGTCTTCGTCGACATGAATGAGCCCATTTCATCCCATCAGTCCGGCTGTCGGAGGAGAGACCCGGTCCGGCCCGCGGCAGCTGCTCATCGGAACCACCCGACGAGAGAAATAAAGCAAAAACACTTGGTGTGTGCGGGATCTGCTCAGTCTGTGGCACCGGCCAGAGCTGACGTTACCTGCCTCCTCCCCCCTCCCGGAGCGGCGGGGGACCTCTCCCCGTGATCCCCCCCCCCCGCCCCCACCCCCCCAAAGAACCACGGAGAGGCTCCAACTGGCTTCAAGGAGGAAAAACAAACACAACACGGGGTTTGAGTCAATAATGGTTTAAAATTAAACATTTATTTGTTGTTTAACCTAAAATGAAGCCATGATGAGCGCGCCTTATTCAGGAGGGCAGGGGCGTCACGGGCACCCCTAAAAATAGTAAATTAAAGCTAGTCTCCCTGATTAAGTGCAATAGGGCTAAATTAAAAGAATAAAATACAGAGGTGCAGAATGCTACTATCATATAATGATGCAGGGTCTCTGGGGGTTCATATTTTTGACACAAGTGGCTGGTGCTGGTGAACCAAAAGCCCTGTGATGGACTTGCGACCCATCCAGGGTGTACCCTGCCCCTGCACAGTGATTGCTGGACATGGGCACCGGCGACCCCCATGACCCAAAATGGAATAAGCGGGTAAAGATAATGGATGGATGGTGAACCAAAAGGTGCAGGCAGGCAAGGACTCAGGATATATATAAAATTAAAAATTTATTAACAGAACAAAAAGAGCTGACAGGGCAGCAAAACAAACATAGAATGAACAGAGGTGTACTCACAATACAGATATCACCAGTGAACAGATAACAAGAGAGACTTGTATACAGGAAACACCAATTAGACCAAGTGAAGGAACCTGTGAGTAATCACAGATGCCAGAGAAAGAGACAGAGGATGCAAGACGTGACACAAGAAGGGGCTAGATACTAAAGAAACACTATAAAGAGAAACAGGATTGAGGGAACATAGACATAAACAACAGGGAAAAAAAACACAACTCATAAATTGTTTATAAGTAAAATTGGAGAGAATGTGCTTCGTAACTCAAGCATGTGACTGTCATTTTCAATAAGTAGTATTAAATGGTAATAATATAATAAATAAACAAGGTAGACTTATCAGGAGGTGATTTCATAACTTATTGCCACATTATAAAAAACAAAACTCCTGAAAATCTGTTTGGCTTTGGTGTCCATTTCAAGGTAATAAGGGGCCCCCCATTGCCACCCTATCTGTCAAATTTTCTGGACGCGCCCCTGCAGGAGATGAACCAAATGCATCATTTCATCCACCACTTTGCTGTCGCTACAAATGATGTGCAGCAGCGATATCAGCTGATCCTGTAAGCCTCATGTATAAAACAAACACAGCAGAGCTGAGCCAAATGAGAGGGAACATTAAAAAGGCCAACAAATGACTTACAGAAGAAAGTTTAGGAAAACACAAGTTTTTTTTTAAACAAGCTAAATTAAAAACTTAGCACTTCTTGAGGGGATGCATATCGCCCGCCTCCCTTCATGAGGATTTTAAACTATGATCATCTTATATTGAGAAAGGATGGTGATAAAGGCAAGATCTCACAAGATGTATAGCTGCCAGAATATTGTTGTGAATGACTCTCAGCTACTACCACAACAAATTTTATCTCCATATCTGTAAATCTGGCCGTTTTAGATTTTTGGTGATTACAAAATTCAGCTGGCTGTGGCAGCCATCTTGAAAGCGACTTTAGGGCTTCATTAAAATCCGTCCACTGGTTCATAAGATATTTTGCTAACACAACAACAAAAAAAAAAAAAACAGGCAAAAACACAATGAGCCTTTTGCGGTCAGCTGCAGTCTTCTCACATTTCTGAACATCTAACATGAGCTCTTGTGCACTGAGCATTTGGCTTGCAAAGCTTTCAGCTGAAGCGCTGCCATCTACTGATACAAGCCGTAAACGACCTTACAGGAAGCTGCTGGAAAACACACAACCATTAACACTGAGACAAAAGCTCCAAGAAAACAACAAACCAAATGACACTTTATTCATCGTTTTATTGTTTTTTTTATTCTAAAAAGTGTTCTTAAAAAAAGCAATGGCAAACAACCTGAGTCTGCTCCATTACCACCCTGTAACAGGCTGATGCTCGTTTGCCTCCAAAATAGGAATAAACAGGTAAACAAGCCTGCAGAAATGTTGAAAGAACATCGTTATATTGTTGAAGGTACTTGCAGCTGCCATCACCTCTTTATAAAACTTTTTTTCTCCCAGACACATTTTTAATTTCCTGACATTAAGTGTTTCCAGGGCACCATCATTACAATTACTACAAGACACAGTGGTGGAGGAAACAAATCAAATCCTAACTGATGCAATACTTTGTGCTTTTAGTCACAATTGATTTTATCTTCATATTACAGGTAAAAAACCTCAAATATGACATATGATTAAAAATAATACTGACTTCACAGTATTCATATGGCCGTTTGCACATCTTTCCAAACTTTAGTGTGTTTTTTTTTTTTAAATCATCTTTTCAACTTTCGTGCATTTAAAAACTTTTCCAGTAAAACTGAGTAAACGCTTTACTCCCGTTAGTGTTTAAATGACATCGCTCTTACAGGAGACAAAGTCCAGCACGTTCAGGCAGAAATTCATGTCTTGGGATTAAAACTGAATTCCAAAATGGTCAATCCCTCGTGATCAGCAGCAGGGACGCTGCATCTCAAAGACCTGAAAGTTTGATAGCCCGTATGATGAAGGATTTTAGCCGACTGAAGCTTACTGGTCAGCCCCAGCTGCCCTTTTGGTTCGTTTCCGTGGAGACGTTTTAGGGGAAGCCTTGTCTGTAAACCATGAGACAAAACGTGAAGCGCCACAGATATTAGAGAAAGTTCACAAATGAACAAGAGCAAACTGATGTAGACTCAAATAGTTCAAAACAATTTAGCAAGATGTGATAAAATGAACATACTCATGACATTAAGCGTCTCCTGAGGAATCCAGCTGATGTCCACATCGTTTATTCCGACCGTGCCCTTCTCTATTTTCACCGAAATCCTCTTTCTCTGCAGAAAACATGACAAAAGAGATCATATTTCATTTTATTTTGATTGATCCATTATTCCACTGCTATCACAGTTCAGCACACTCAGATGAGGCGTGGAGTTTTTGTGTAAAGGTAATAAAACTACAGTAGTACCTTGCTACTTCGCGGTTCGACTACCACTTGCTCTTTTGCTGTTTTTCAATGCCATGACACACACTGATGATGTGATTGGCTGATTTATGAATGAGCTGCACGAGCGGCATAGATTGTTTATTTAAAATATATATTTAAAACGATTTAGCACCTGCTACACCTGTGTGCAGCCCATAGGTGCAGAGAAAAGCTCCCTCCTGCAATGAGTCATGATCTCTGCTCTCTGCCACGCCCACTTCTCTGCTGCAAACACACTTAGTAATTTTTCTGCTCATTTCTATTTATTTAAACCTACCGTATTGTTCGCTGTATGAGTCACAGTTTTTTGCATAAACTAGCATGCCCTGTGACTTATACAGCGAAGCGACGTATTTATGTCCCCCACCCCCCCCCCATATTTATAACCCAATTTTTGGCTGAGATCTGACAATTTCATTCATTCTGACATGGAAAATATTGAACACTACCATTTTCAACCACTAGAGGGCCCTTGACTAATATGGCAAGCCAAGTGTCTCATTAATAGGTAAAAGTAGCTATTAATGAGATACTTGGCTTGCCATACCTTGCCACTTTTGTCTCGCTTTGGAACTCCTGGAGCAAACGTCAAATCAGCTGAATTACGCCGCGCTGCCCAGGCGAAATGCAGCTGATTTGACCAATAAAGTGCATTTTTTTAAGGAAAAGTTAAACTGAGACACACATTTACTATAATGTCAAGCAAACAAATAATTGCTTTTAAGTGTTAATCTTGTTAAATGCTTGTTAAAGTCCTCCTGTGCACGCTCCCGCTGCTGCCATTTGGCAGCCAATCTATTTTTTTGTACACTGGCTCACATTTCCGGGTTGTTAGCGGTGACGTGCAATAGATGTGACTTACATGGCGAATCGATGTATTTATGTTTTTTTTTCCACTTTATTAGACATTTTTGGACTGATGCGACTAATACGGCGGTGCCACGTGTACGGCAGCAAGTACGGTAATTCAGCAAATATGTGTTCTTTCTGCTTCTTCTGCTAATTTAGGCTTGTTCTTACACTTCAGCTATATTTCAGCATGTTTTTAGTTCATTTCAGCTGTTTTTCAGCAAGTTCTTCAGTGATAAGCATTCACATTGCATTTTTGCAGGACATGCATTTTCTCTAATTAAAGTTCAAATCCTAAAAATGTCCATTTCTCCTCCGTGCTGCATCAGCTTTGTGAAGGGTTAACCCTTTGCTGTCCAGCTACACCGATCAACTTTTGCCTTCCATCTTAAAATTCAAGTATGTCACATGGTAAAATTGTCAATCACAAAATAGAAAAGTGTTAAAAGTTATTTTAAATCATTTTAGAACTTCTATGTTCTATGTTGCTACAATGTAATTGATCAAGAAGTACATTTCTGCATCTGCTGCGTGGAGGGTTAGTCCTGCTGCGCTTCTCTTCTCTTGTACTACTATCCCTACATTGTTGCTTTTCACTTGTCGCACACTCAGGGGTGGTGGTGGTGGAACCTAACACCCGCGATAAACGAGGGACTGTATATCTAATGTGGATGGCTCTTTAAATGACGTCAGTTTGGAGAAAGTGTTTTTTTTCACTGGATTGATGAGCTAACTGCGAATAATAAAACATCAACCTTTCCACAGAAATCTACTTCAAAAGATCTGAATTATGGCTTTAATACTTGTGACAAAGATATTTCTGTATGCCTTAATAAAACACACAGGGCTGGTTTATCTCAGCTCGAGCATCCCTGTAGTTGTTGTAAACTTCACATGAAATCCTACCGTTCTTGACTCCAGAACCTGGTACAACCCAAACAGCATCAGAGCCACCAGTCCAAACAGAAACACGTACATGAACATCCTGCAAAAAATAAAAAAAATCAGAATTATCTCTGAACTTTATTTAATAATCCTCAAAATAACCCACAGAAAATATTGTTTGGTTAAACCAGGTTGAAGTTACTTAGGTCACTTAAGTTAAAACTAATCTAACAAAACTCATCTGCTTTGAAACAAACAAACAAACAAACAAAAAAAGAAGTACGTGTTTTTTATTGACACGTAGATATGTGAATGTTGATGGAACGTTTCATATAATTTACTCCGGTGTGATTTTTCAGTACTTTTTTCTGTCTACTTCTGCATATTTTATGCTATTTTATACAATCATAAATAAAAGAGCATGAGATGAGTGCTATGACTTTTGGCTTTTGTAACTTTTGTACGTGTCAAAATTTTCACCTTTTTTATTTACAAATAATGTCAACAAAGAAAAACATTAAGATATCTTAAATTCATTAACATCATTCTCTTTGAAACCTGTTTTTATTTAGCTTCTTTTGCTGCATTTAGCTTTTAGATAACCTTCTGTTACTTTTAGCTAGAATTAAAAATTTTAGCTACTATTTTACTACATTTAAATTTCAGTTATTAATAGTTTGCTTCTTTGAGCTTTTAATGATTTATTTTTTATTATTTAGCTTTCATTTTGCTTCAGCTTGCGTTTAGTTCCTTTTAGCATATGGAAAGAGTTTCCTCCTAGCTTTTAGCTATTGTTCTGTTTCTTTTAGTTTTCATTAATTCAGGTTTAACTCTTTTAACACCATTCAGCGTTTACGCTGCAATTTTGCGTAAACATTTTTTTTTCTAGTTGATTAGTTTGTTTTTACAGCTGCAGCACAAAAACAGACAGCTAAATTCTCTGTGTTCGTCTTTTTACAGGTTTTTCTGTGTCTGTGCTATTATTCTGGGTGAGCTGAAATGAATCCAATCTGTGCAGCTACTGATTACTGCCTTTGCAGCGCAGCGCTGCTGCTTGTGGTCTTCCTGACATTTCTGCAGAACGAAGTTTGTGCAGTTTGCAGGAGAGAACTTGCTTCATCTGCATTTTCTGTTTCGAGAATGTAAACAACAGGATATGACCGAGTCTTACGTTTCTCCATCCAGTCCCTCTTCTCGCTCAATGACAGTGACGGTCTCGTTGTAAACAGCAGTCTGGAACGTGTTGCCCTGATAAAAGAAAAATAAAGAAATAAAATGTTCAAGCATGAAAGTTGTGTGTTTACAAAAGTATTTAAGTCATGGATACTCCAAAAAGGACGAATAGTTCAAAACAGCTTTGAGTAAATATTACAGCTAAATAAAAAAGTCAAGATTTTTACAATATTTTGTTGGACGAACTCTTTCACAACATTTGCATTTTATCTGTAGACCCTGGTTGAATTGTTTGGCATTTTATTCAGCTCTTAACTTAAATCGGATTAAATTTGTTTTCAAAATCTGATCTATATGTTAGCCCTGTTTTTACTGGACCATGAGCACATTTCAGATTTATTTATGACTTCTGCTGTATTCTTTAATATTTCTACTGTAGGTTTAGCTGATCAACCATCAAAGCATCAAAATAAAATATTTTGTAAATGAAAACCTCTTAACTTTAGTTATGATAAATTAAACTTTAGATTGACATAATTAATTTTTCTTTAAAAGAAAAAAAAAAAAGGGGGAAGTGCAACACGGTAGAGCTGCGATTTCTAACCCGAGCGCAAATAATGTGCTTGATGGGCGGGCCGGGTCGGTCTCGGGCTTTTGATGTGGTTTTACGAATCATACAGCACAAAGAAAACTAAATAAGAATGCACAATATAAAATTATGTTAATCTGCTTGTGGAAGAGGCAGTAAGTTTATATGTTGAGAGAATGAGGAAAGAAAGAAGAGCGCAGCGTTAACCAGACTGTGAAAAGAGAGTAGATCTGGCGCAAAGGGAAACAACTGCACATGTGGTTTTAGTGAGAAGATGGAGGCTCGCGGGGAGCAGGCGCACATGGACAACGCCTCCCCCGACATGTTGGGCTTTTTAGTCACATTTCTAAAACCGTTTTGCCGTGCACAGAGAAAACTGGAGGGTGACAAATATTCCACTATTAACCTTCATCATCACTGCCAGTTCTCACAGTGGATCATCAGCCGCGTGCTGACCGGCCGGTTGAAAGAGGTTAAAAAAAGGAAAAAAAGTTCAGGTGAGCTTCGGATGGACAACCGGATCACAAGCTGCGCGCGTTCACTGACCGTTAATAACTATAATATTATAATAACTATAATAATCTGCTGACTCTTGTTAATAAACAAGACATCTTATATTTTCCGTTCTTTGAAATACGTTTTTAAAACTATCATGTTAAACTGATTTGCTTACAAAAGCAGTAGAAGCTTTTTAAAAAGTAATTTTTTTTAGGGCTCAAGCCTCTAATTAATTGGTTGGTTCAGGCCTGGAAAAAAATGATGCGGGCTCGGGCCGGATCTTTTAGGCCTGAATGCAACTCTACAACACGGTGGCCCAGATCAGAGTCAGAGTCAGAGTCAGAGTTTCTTTATTGTCATTCGCACCTCATGTGGTACATGTGGTGGAGCGAAATTATGTACACGGGGTCCCAGTTACATCCAACAATAAAATGTCTAAGAAAAACAGTAATAACATCTAAGATATGAACTAAGAAAAACATCAACTAAATATACACTAAGCACTCATAACATAAAACATTGAACATCAGCACAAACATGAACATGAGTCTGTGAGCAGATGTGCACGCATGAACACATCAACATTGAAACAGATCAGCAGCAACATGAAACAGATCAGCAGCAACATGAAACAGATCAGCAGCAACATGATATGTTTTTTCACAGTGATTATTCTAGTTAGAGATTCATGAGTCTAACAGCCTCAGGGTAGAAGCTGTTCCTCAGTCTAGTGGTTCTACACTTAATGCTCCTTAACCTCCTTCCTGAGGGGAGTGGGGCAAAAAGTGTGTGTGCTGGGTGAGTGGGGTCCTTCATGATGCAGGTGGCCCTCTTCCTGCATCTGGAGGTGTAGATGTCTGTGATGGTGGGGAGACTGACTCCAACAGTCTTCTGTGCAGCCTTCACCACTCTCTGCAAAGCTTTTCTTTCTGCAGCTGTGCAGCCTCCATGCCACACGTTGATGCTGGAGCACAGGATGCTCTCCACTGCACACCTGTAGAAGGAGGTGAGGACTGAGCTTCCCAGACCAGCTCGCCTCAGCCGTCTGAGGAAGTAGAGTCTCTGATGAGCTTTCTTGATCAGGCTGGTGGTGTTGTTGCTCCAGCTGAGGTTGTCATTCATGTGTACACCCAAGTACTTGTAGCTGGAGATGGCAGCGTTCCAGACTGCAACAAAACACGTTTTCCCCCCATTTCAAGTTTACAGATGACGGAAATCGTTGAAGAGATGGAGAACTTTAATCCACGTCCATTTCACTTGGTTGTCCACCGGACAACCTTGAAGTGAGACCTGGCTGTCCGAGACAAAAACAGGTTGTCTCGGACAAATGGAAACCGTTTATGTCGACCCCTGCATATCGTAATATTTCTGCCAGAACGGATGTGAAACACAAAACAGTCTTTTGCTCATCAGTCCAATCAAAGCAACAACTTTCTCGTGTGGAGCATAAATAAATGTTGCGTTATTAGACCCATTCTAAATCCAGTGTTTGATTTGTTCATTCTGTAGAGACTCAGCAATGCAAAGAATCATATAAAAAATAAAGACTTGTGTCACCAGCTGCTTGTTATGAGTTAACAAAACCACTTATGTCATTCTACATTTACAGAAAGTAAAATTTTGAACATTTTATTGCAGTTCTGCCCCAAAAAGTGCTTTATTTTGAAACAACGGTTTAAACGTCTTTGTAATTACCTCAGAGTTAAGGTAAGTGAGGAGGATGACGAGGCCGAAGGGACGTCCAGCCATGGGTTGTGCTGGGATGAAGGAGTACTCGAAGGAGGCCTGTGCCTGGGGCTGGACTACAGTGTTCAGGGGCAATGCTGTGAACTACATAAAACAAACACAAGTTAGCTTCTGTACTCTTAGCCCACTAAACAGAACACACAGACTGATAATGAGTGTAAAACTTGGCTCTAGTAACAATAAAGAAGTTTGCATAAAATCTTAATCAGATTGAGCAAATTCAGTTGTTTTGGGCTTGAATTTTCATAGAACAATTTTAGTATGCAGTACTTATATTCTAAATAAATTAGTAGAAACTTGAAAGAATACTGCAAGACAAAAAAGAAAAGACAATGCATTTAATGCAAAACACAAGTGCTGGTTATTTCTGAGGACACTTACATTCTGAATGAAGAACTGGAAGTCTTGGGGGTAACGGAAGGAGGCCTCCAGTGACTGAACGGTAAAATCCTGACTGCCCTTATTGGTGAAACCCACAAGGAACTTCACGATTTCATTCGCAGGAAACTCTAAATGCATTACGAATGAAAACAAAACGAAATTAAAACAATTAGCACGTAAAAGCACAAATTGTACAAATGGGTCTAATATCAAGCTTTTAGTTCGTTAACTTCTATTTTCATCAATTTGCATGAAATTAAACAGTTTTAATTTGAACACTCTTAACAAACCTTCGCCTGTGGTGAAGAGGATAGTTGTGTCGGCATCGGGGTGAGAAGTTACGAGTTTATCAGCAGCTTCATCAGCATCATCTTCATCTCTGTTCTGATGATGAACAAAAATATTCAAGTAACTTGAGAACCAGCATGTAAGCTCTGTTCCGTCATACGATGAAAGATACACAACTTACAGAGTTTTGCACTTGATCTTCTTCAACAAGCATCTCTTCCTCGTCCTCATCTTCATCCTCGTCGACAGCAGCATCCGTGTCCTCGATGGAGTCCTCAGTAAAATCTGCACCAACGTGGCCTGCAGAGAGAGGTGGAAGCACAAATTTGAATGAGGTTGGATTAAAACTCTCTCTCACCCTAAATGTTGAAGTTTTCAGATGAATTTAATAAAGATTTTACATTTTTCATGAGTAATAGTCATCTTCATCTGGTAAGGATGCTATTTACATTTTGACTTTCTTTGTGTGCATTTTTAAAAAAATCTGACATTCCATCCGTCCATCCGTCCGTCCGTCCGTCCGTCCGTCCGTCCATCCATCCATCCATCCATCCATCCCAGTTGGCTCACGGGGCAGCAGCCTGAGCAGAGAGGCCCAGACCTCTCTTTCACCTCTTCCAGCTCTTCTGGGAGGACTCCAAGGCGTTCCCAGGCCATCCCTCTAGTGTGTCCTGGGTCTTCCCCAGGGTCCCTTTCCAGTCAGACATGCCTAAAGAAACTCTCCAGGGAGCATCATAACCAGATGCTTGGACCACCTCAACTGGCTCCTTTCGATGTGGAGGAGCAGCGGTTCTACTCCGAGTCTCTCCCGGATAACTGAACTTCTCATCCTATCTCTGAGGGAGAGTCCAGCTACCCTGCAGAGGAAAATAATTTCAACCGCCTGTATCTGCTATCTCATTCTTTCGATCACTGTTTGTGACCATGGGAGAGGGTAGGAACGTAGGCCGACCTTGCCGCTCAGCTCCCTTTTCACCACAACGGACCGGCACAGAGTTCGCAATACTGCGGATGTGGCACCAGTCCGTCAGTAAATCTCACGCTCCATTCTTCCTTCACTCATGAACAAAACCCCAAGATACTTGAACTCCTCCACTTGAGGCAGAACCTCACCCTCGACCTAGAAGGGGCAGCGCTGTGTTCATTTTAGGATATTTGTCGGAGAGTTTCCAAATTATCCAAAAGCAAATACAGGAAAAGTTTTTTGGGAAAAATACACATAAAAAGTTCCCACCATGTTGATTGTTTCTAAAATAATTAGATGCTGATGTCATCTTTCATTTTATTTTTGTTTTCAAATTACATACATGTAAATTGATATGTATTCTTATTATTATAAAATGAATAAATAAATAAATAAATAAATAAATAAATAAATCCACACTGCTCTTTTCTTCTTTTAAAGCATTTGCAAACCAACTCAAAACAGAAACTACTTTATTATCACACTTAACGATATTATCTAACTTATCAATACTAAATCATCTCATGAAACCACTGGCCAAATTTTATTCAAACTCTCAGAGTAATTATTGGAAGTACATCTACAAACGATTAACATTTGGAGTCAATACGATTCAAGATGGCTGCCTAAGCCAACAAACAGAAATAATAATAAAAAACAAATTACTATAACATTGTTAGTTTTACAGATATTGAGCTAAAGTTTGGCATGGTAGTAGCTGAGAGTCATCTACACACACTCCGAGCGTGACATCTCACACAGCTGCAAGAAATATTCAAGCTTTGGCCAAAATGTGTACAACTTCATTTCTCTACGTAAGATGATCTCAGTTTAAATGTTGCCAGGTGAAATGCATTCCTTTAAATTTTTTCATTCAAATTTGATCGTTTTATTTCAGGCTGAGAGATTATTGTAGACAAAAACATTAAAACATGGTATTTTTAAGCAGTCGCATTCGTGTAAGGTTGTCGATTTCCCTCCTAAGAACAGTAACTAATAAACAGTATTAATTGTCAAAGTTAAAAGAAACTTTTGAAAGTTTTAGGTAGCTAGATATGTAATTATTTAATTTGTTTAATGTCCAAACATGTGGCACCTACGCAGATTGTTAGTTAGTTTGAACATCAGATTACTTATCATCCTGAACAACTGTCATTGGTAGTAAAATATATTAAATATTTTTATTTCTAGGGCTCAGATATTCTGTCTAAAACGTTTGATTATGTGAGAAATAAAATGTGAATTTGTGTCAGTGGACAGACATGAACCCCAAACAGAGGGTTCACAATAATGTGGTGACGTGTCCCAGCAGGATGGAGCTCTGGTTGGTGTTTCAACCACTAAAGAGTAAAAAAAATAACGTTTGGAGAAACTCACCTTTACTAATTCAAAGATGAACACACTACAAAATGATTTCACTATGGACACTTTGAGAAACGACCGTTTTCATTCATTCAGGGTCAGTGATGAGCTGTAACAGTGATACTGTGGTTTACTGCTGAATTAAACGGCCGTACTATAGTACAATACGGTAATACAGTACAGTGTAGTAATAGTACCGTAATACAGTACAGTAGTGTAGTAATACTGTAGTAGTAGTAGTCGTTCATGCAGCCGTTATGAAGGCAGCGATGTGACCATCTGCCACGTCAAACTAGGACCGATTACTTTTTTAAAATGTTTTATAAAGTAAAATAAGGACAAAAAACGTTCTGGTTTGAAACGGGGAAACACTTACCGACTGATATTAGTCCACAGGGGAAGGCCAGCAGGAAAAGCAGCAGCAGTTTTGATCCGAAGTTGAACATTTTTACAGACTTTCGGGTTAGTGCTAGGTACACATCAGCGTTAGGGAGAAGAAGACAGCGGCGGAGAAGGGGCGGGACTACGGAGGCTAGCTCCGCCTCTTTGTTGCATTCAGGGCACATGGAAGAATGGGAACATGGAGCTTTTAGCCCCTTTCTCTCTCGACGTCTTTTCTTAAAGCGCCAGGTGGGAAATTAATTTCCCCCAAAAGGTTGTAAGGTTTACATAAGACTACAAGACAGACTTTATTAGCTATATTGGTAAGAGGTGACATTGCAAGACAGGGGAAAAAATGTCAACCATTCATAGAGAATTTAAACGTTATGTTCTCAGTGTAAATAATAAGCCTTTACAAAAAAAAAAAAAAAATGAACACGTTTGGGCAGTATTTTAAAAACCAGCATTAGAGGAAGTTTATATAAAGTGCACTTGGTGTTTCTGTACACCCCCCATTCCAGTACAGACCCATGACCAGATACCTGAATGAGATGAAGATATTCCATCCATCCATCCATCCATCCATCCATCCATCCATCCATCCAT